TGTGTCCTGCAGTGTGGGATTTGCAAAGCAATGTTTTGTATTTCTAAATATTATAAAGGCTGAAGTTGTGAAAGTTGTAATGAATCTTGTTATATGCAGATACGGAATTTTTAATCTACTTTTTTTAATTTGAGCACAAGCCTTATTTTTAAAATGATTGTTGTTACCTTGCCCTGTGTTATATGAAAGTTTCCAGACTGAGAGCAAAGTACAGTAATAATAATATCCAGTGTGTGTGTTTTTGTTTGTTTTTTTCAGCTCCATGTACAGTCCATTGTCATTTGGAAGTAGTGGCAACAGTTCTGGCAATACAACGGTGAGCTCTCCAGCCATGTCCTGTAGGCTTAGTATTGGAGAATTCCTCGTCAACGGAAGAGACTCTTCCACCACCTTGAGCACCACCACCAGTCTGGCTAAACTCTTGCATGAACAAGGCATCTCTGCCAAAGTTTGTGATAACCGTATGCCAGGAAAGCTGCCTATTCTACAGCCCCTACGAACCCTTCCCGTTCCCTCCACTCCCCAAAATTCTCCCTCACACTCACCTTGTTCTTCCCCTCTGCCTTTTGATACTCGATCGCATCTCTCTGAAAACTTTCTGGCATCACGACCAGCTGAAACATTCTTGCAGGAGCGGTGTGGCCTGAAACCATCCCATAACCCTCCTAACCTAGACCAGCTGAAGATGAACCTGGTGGACAGGCTGAAGAGGTTGGGTATTGCCAGAGCAGTCAAACCCCCGGAGGCAGGGGACCATGTTAAAAATCAAAGGCCAGAAATTGGGCTGCGGAGACCGGACTCAGCTGTGTTTTTAAGTGCAGGTAGCAACCTGATGGGTGGACTGAGAAGAAACCAGAGTCTTCCAGTCATGATTGGGGCACTTGGAGCTCCATTTTGCACATCCTCATCAAAAATGGGTATCTTAAAGGAAGACTGAGTGGTTTCTAAGTAACAGACTTCTAGCAGAACAAATAATAGGTTAAGGCTGAACATGTGATACTGGTGTGGAATGGAGAGTTGCAGAAGGAATGTGCACGTTAAAGTGGAAAAAGAAAGGGAGATGGGGTGAGAGAGAGAGAGAGAAATTGCATGGAGTTGAGGAAGGAAGAAGAAAGAATTGGGAAGAGATCACAGGAGAGAAGAAACCAAAGCTAAATCTTGAGACCCTTTACACATCTGACTTCCTGGCTTAAATAAAAAGACAATAATAAATGCTTGTTAGTATCTTCTGCTTTCAAATGTATGTGTCTGGGGCAGTAAATGTCTTGTAGAATGCTCTGTCTCCCCCTCTCCACCATGATCATATTATTTTGCCAAATGTTAGCGGCCATATTGTACCACTGAAGGTATTAGTAAAAGGAACAAGGAATCTGTTCTTTACTGCACCAGAATAATTGGTCCAAATCCATCTCTGGAGTGAAGAACAAGCACAGGAACAACTCGGATTCCTTTGTTTTTTGCATTTCCAATTTAGAAATTAAACTGAACCTCTTCTTTTAAAAAAATATTTTGTATGTTAAGTTTTATACTTCTCATGGCATGTACAAATAAGAGTTGGGGTAGGATTTTTATTTTGGATGAGTGCAGCGGTGCTAGTGGAGTATCAACAGAATGACATTCCTCTCTGAACTCTCTGAAAGCTGTTGAAAGCACGTTGAGGAAAGTGCAATCAGTAGGAGTTAAGCAGAAGAAGATTTTATATTCTAGGGGAAAATTGTTTATTTCGAGCCACAAAACGTTTCCAAAGCATGCTATGCATATATTTTTAATAAAAGGAGGTTTGCTTGCACACACACACAATCTCAGGCACATTTTAAGGTTATAAAAGGGAGTAAAACATAAATGCTTGATTCTAGGTTTGTTTTTATTTATCTAAATGGGGAGCATATTTTTAACAGAAGATGACAGAATGTTAGAAGTTTTGTGACTGACTCTACTTTTGGCTACTAGATAGTCCCTACATTTGAGAGAGCTTTTTAATGGAATATAAACCTAATGGATTTGATATTTAAGATACTTTCTGATTCTAGGCAGGATTCTGTTACACAGATTTCACTGAGGAAACAGTCCATGAAAGTTGTTCTGGAACTTTGGTTAGTACATAACCGAACGTTCCAGACTCTGGCACTGAAGCAACAAATAAGGCAGCGATGAGTGGTTTTTGTGGCCACTGTATCAAATAGAAATGAGTTTTGTCATTGTCAGAAGATAATCTGCTTCTTCTTTGTTAATGGAGAGCAGTTCAAAGACTTACTGTTCTGAGTGAAAGTAATAAAGATCTTAAGAGGCAGAACTCAGTGCATTGGAAAATTGAATGGACAGAAATCAAGTCCCTTGAAAAGAATCTATTGGTGTCTTTGGGTGCTAAATAGCAGGACGCTTTGAGCCCATCACCAGTGGATTCAGAAGCATTTTAGCTATAACTAAGCATAAAAAGTTGTTCCTTTGAATAATCTATATCATGGTTTATAAAGGGGCTACAAGGAAAAAAAACCTGTCCAAACTGATCAGTGCTAGATCTCTGCAAGTGATTCTGTTGTGAACAAGTCCTTAATCTCTGTGAAATAGAATAGTTTATTTGTAACCTAATTTTAGCTACAAGGAACTTTCATTATTATGATTTTAAGTCTCCATTTCTTTACAAGTGAATTAACAATTATACTTTATCCTAGTTGTTAAATATAGTTGTGGTAGACCTAATGGGACCAGGCTAGCGTGAGTAATGTAAGTGATCAAATCGTGATGGAAAATCAAACCAGAGTTCAAAGCTATATATGTTTCGGCTGAATGGTCTTTACCCGCACTGGAACAATTTTTACAGAGATTTTAATACTCTTTAGGCCCATTCATTTTGACCAGTCACACAATGATAGGGTCAGATTTGGCCACAACCATGTTTTAACAGCCATGCTTAACTAGGGGGTTGTCTAAACTCGGTTGTAAGACCTGTGTAGTTGGGGCTCTAGGTGACATGGAGTGAAGCAGTCATATGACTGGTTATAGCTGTCAAGAGGCACAACCATCCTAATCTGCCCTCCAAACGCTGCAGCGTTGCCAGCACTGTAAAAACTTTAAATGGGACAGATTAGAAAATCTGATAGCTTTATAAATGGGTTGTTATGTCCTTTATAACCTGATGTTTCCTACGATTACACTCCTTTTGGTGTCTTGATGATGCTTTTTGATATAAAGCTTGTTTCTAAAAAAGAAATGTAGTAACCACTCCAAGCACTAACTGCTTCACAAGGTTTCTCAGCCGCCATTGTCTGTCAGTAGTACACATAAGCATTCAGTAGCTCCACTGGTTGGCCTTTGGGAGTTCGCTTAGATAGCTCACGTAGTTGTAAAAGATTAATCTATTAATTTAAAATAATGCATAAGGGTTAATTCTGTTTTAAATGACAAAAAATGATCCTAATTTTTATTTTAAAGCATTTGGGTTGTACTTCCTTAACCATGCACAGGGTCTTACCTCGCTTGGTAAGGTGAGTATTTGTTCTCCAGTGAACTGAGCATTTGGTATATCATATGTGTATTTTGCAGTTCCCAGGGAAATATCAGGTGACAAAGCAATAGAAAATTAGACAGTCTGATGTATACAGAGAACAGCATTTGTGTCAAATTGATGTCCAATTTAGGTACATTTATTATATAAATACTTGTAAACTACAGCTAGACTTTTATATGTATTAAATAATTTAGAATTAATATATGTGTATTTTAACTAGCTTTGTCATGATTGCTATAGCTGTGTATTAACAGAAGAATCAAAACAACTGATTTATTAGACTTTTTTTCAGACCAGGTTGCTGTTTAAGTTCATTTAAAAGCACAATAATTAAATGCATGTAAATATGGAATGAAGCCTTTTAAAAACATGTTTTGATTTGAATGATACCAAGTTGTCCCAGCCTAATGTGTAATAAAGTTTCCATAGACCAGTGTCTCATCAACTACCTGTCCAAACCAGGAAGGTGATAAAAGCAGAACTTGTGCACTATTGTGGCTATATATTTATCCTTTCAGTTGAAGCTGAAGATTTTTTTATCTTGTATTTACATTGATGGATACGCCGTGTGTATTTTGTATACTTGTGCCTAAATTCCAGGGTCAAGGAAAATTAGATCTGAAGGATGTAGCAGTGATTTAGCAGTGTAGCCTAACCTAGAAGACAACATTTTGCAATAGGCCTTTATGATGATGTTGGTAGCATATTTAGTTCCTGTGGAGTTGGAAGAATTGATTAGCGTCTCCTCACTGCCTCACAGTAGAGAGAAGCATTTACATGAATGTCTATCTAAGATTCTACAAAGGGTCTCTTGATATATTTCAAGATGGCTTAGTCAGCTGGGTGGAGCTAGTGGCAACAGCAACAAATAACTGCAGTTGAAACAGGTCCTGTGTCCACAAACCTGCAGCATGGAACAAACACCAGAGAAGACCGAAAGGAATTTAGCCATCCCTTTTAGGAAAGACCCAGAAAGAGAGAGAGCTTTCTGCGATGTCAGTCTGCCAACCTCAGTATCTCTCTTATTCATGTTTTGAGCATATTTTTGGCAAGTAAGCAAAGTACCCATTTAATTTTCTGCCTTTAGAACCACAGGACTATAGTTTCACTAACTGAACTTCTTTGATGTGAAACGCATACAAAACCAATGCACTAAAAGCAGACATGGGCAGTGAGATGGAATATGTTTTTTTAAGCAGAAGAAAATCTACTTCAGCAAAGCAAACAGCATAGAAAGGAGCAAAGGTTTGGGTTTGAGACCCATTTAGCCACTGCATAGGATAGTTGCACATTTTTTGAGAAACTGGGAACTTTTTTTGTTCATCTGCTTTTTGCACTTAATTTTTCATAGTGGAATGTAAATTTGATAATAAACATGTAGAAACGTGCTGTTTTACATGACACTGGTGGCACTGTGGTTTGTTCCATGCATGTGGATATAGATATAGATAGATATAAAAATATGAGTATGGTGGTGGTGGGTACTCTTATAAAAGGAGATTTGGCTTTTAAAAAAATGAAATGTTGCTAAAATACAGTAGATCTATATTTAGTGATGGTTAAATCTAGATAAGTGTTTATTGTATATCTTCTTTGCTGTTTGAAAAACCTTTTTGTTGAGAACGAAGAATTTCACATCTGCCTTTAAAAAAAGAATATCCAGATGTGAATGTCTCCTTGTCAGATTACATGCAATAATTAACTCTTGTGCATACTTTTTCTTTAATCCCACAACGGCTATTAAGGACTCTTAGCATTAGGATGACTCTAGCAGGAAGCCAAGAGGGAAAGAATGGCACAACCTCCCCTATATTTATGGAAAATCAGCCAGCATCTTTCAGTTCTTCCTCCAGTTTTTTCCTCCTTAAAACATGATTTCCTCCTTGGGAATAATGGGCTTCTTACACTCTGTACACCTATTTCTCTCACACAAGTTTCTTGTGCACGCTTAAATCATTTCAGACGGACTCCCTGGGCAAAAGGGTTTTGTGCACTCTCTCTTTAAGATAGAAAGAATATTAGTAGCCAATGAAGTGGCACTCTCCTGTTTCCATGGTGACAAGGGAAACTAACCTTGTCTTGGGAGAAGCAAAGATCCTGATAAGAAACAGGACCTACAAGGGCTGCTTTTTTCTGATAAACTTCTGCGGGTTCCAGTCTCTGGAAACGTCTGGACCCAAAGAATAAAGCCAGCTGCTGTATGAGAGTAACACAAAATGTAAAGTTTTTTTCCCCTTGTTTTGTTTGCGATTCAGGTCTGCAAAGGGGACACGCTCCATTGCTCTTGGGTTTTGTGTTTTAGAAACTAAAGAACTTGAAACTGCTGCTAAGACCCAGAAGTGTTTTTAAAAAGCTGTTAAATCCAATAGATCATTCAGATGAATTTCTTGAGGGCTGGGCTCCCTGGAGGCCCCAAAGAGATTTCAAGTTATGTCCTGCCAGAAATAACCCTTTTTTTTTTTTTTTTTTTTTATAAGTAGAGCAGGCCTGATTTGACTTCACCTGGAACTGTGGACTCAAGAGATCTAATTTATTTATCTTTGTTGTGGGCTCTGTTCAGCTTTGCGTTTTCTAAGGGTTTTTCAGCAGATTAGTGGGGGATGGGGACAATCTCTCAGCTTTATACACCTTGGAAACAGGAAGTTTTGCCTGAATAGTTGACTTAATTTTTTCCATTTCTAAATGTGATCTCATTACTCTTAGTTCTACCTCCCTTGTTAGCACACACAATAATCCCTTGCTGGTTACACCCTTCCAATACTTGTAGGCTATTACCATGATCCACCCCCCTTAGCCCTCTCCTAGCTCAATCTAGGCTACTTTAATCTTTCCTGTATTCCCCCCCTAATTATTGTTCTTCTCTAAAGTGCCTCTAAATTCTTTCTAGTGTGATGATTCCACTGCTGAGTAGTGATGGTGTCAGCAGAGGGTATTATGGTAAATTTGTTACTGTTTTTTCCCATGTTCTGTGGAGCATGGTAGGTGGCCAGGAAGAGAAAATTTCATGGCAGTTTTGAAGAGTGGGACAGGATGCTGAGGGCTTGGGAAGAGCACAGAGTTGAAGGCAAATGGAGAGTGCAAACTGGAACCCATCAGTTGCTAGGGTCTTTAGAGCCTTACTCATGATGCACCTGGCATGCTACTAGGAACTGTGTCAGACTAGGTTGGGTACCATGACAACCCAGAGCCTTGTACCTATGGTTACACTAGCGATCAGTTATCCTGGTGTGGTCGGACCACAGGCATATACAGCAGGTTGATTGCCTGCCTTGTCAGTGATGTTACAGCTCTCCATGCAGGCCAAAATTGCATTGATCTTTCTTTGGATCCCCAAAGGATGGATTTGTCCCAGCCCTACTTGTAAATGAAAGAGTGAATCTCCATGACCATTTGAAAGTAGCCAGCTGTTTGTGAAATCTCCAAAATTCCTCCCCTGTCCACAGTGTGTCTGGGGCGGATCACTGTCTGAGTTAGATAGTTGGTGTACATGAAATGGAAAGATACCTGTGCTTGCATATGAGTATAAGATAAAGATCAGACTTGGAACCCTTAATGTGTGAGAGTGAATTCTGTGCTCAGATACATGTGTGTAACTTACAGAACTCAATGGGAGTTCCATGTATGCATCCAAGGGCTGAATCTGGCTTTCTGTGTACTGTGGCTGTGTTGGTCTCCCATAAGAAGAAGGTGATATTTTCTCTGACTTACAAAAAAATTCCAAGACTAGTAAATGCTTCTGACTCCTCATATCTTTGTTTCATCTCCAGCCTTTTGCCCAGCCAGGGTTCCTGCTATACAGACATGTCTCATTCCCCCTTTTTGTACTGTGCCTGTTGGGACCCTTGGAATGTGCAGGGTAAAAGGCTAATTAAGACCATGCCAGGCTTACCGAATCAGAAAGCCAGGTAAGCAGAAGCCATTGGAGGAAGAGGGAATTCCATTTTTTCTAATGCTTAACACCAGTTTCTTGCATTTATCTTTTATTTGGGCCCTATTAATAGTGGCGGGGCGTGTAGTAAGTTATATATACATATAAAGAGATGTGTTTAAAGTTACAGGTAACTCGTGTATGCTGATTTTTATACAAGTAATGTATTACACTTTTATGTTATGTACACCTTTCCAAATGCATTTTACACAAGTTATATTGTAATGAGTTTAGTGCTGGTGTCAGGTGCTGTGTATATGTCATTTCTGTCATGCTTCCCTCAAGCCTAGAGGGAAGAGATGGGACTAGGGGAGGGCATTACTGAGAGGCTACTGTTTAGATCCACTACAGCTTATCTTAGCAGAATTCCAAGAGGCCATAACCCAAACCAAATAACTGGAGACTTGCTGTAACATCTGAGTATAGATTCAGGGCCAAAGTCTGCTCAAAATTACACCAATTCAATCTTATTGTGAAGGCATTGTCCTTGTGCCTGGGGTGTGGCAAGGATATAGTCTGTCCCCAATCTGAAAGAAGCTGGCTAACAGGCTGCTGCTTCCAGGAGGTATAATTGTTTTCTGCTCTCAGAAGGCTGAATTGCCATGATTCTATAAATCTGGTTTGTTCCTGTTCCATAAATATGTCTGAATACCGTTTATATTTTTAAACCAGGTGGTCCTCACTAGGCATGATCTTGAAAAACCAAAATAGTTTCCTGTTTGCTATAAAACCTCCCAGCACATCCAAGTAAGTATTTGTCTTTTTTATGAAGAAGAGTGGGGGGCTCAAGAGTGGTATGTGACATGAAATGGTTTTCCAGTGTGTACAGGTGCTAACTCTCCCTTACGAGCTGCTCTGTTCAGAAGAAAACAGATAACTCCTATTAGCAGCAGTCCCAAGACTTCACATCACTAAATGGTATTGATGGTATGGTAATTTACACATGATGCCCTAAAGCCTCAGTGGTGTGGAGTCTCACCAGCAAATGCATGTTACAGACACCACTCTTCTGCACTGCCTCCTTCCTTCTGCTTAGAGTTGTCACCAATTTAGAAAAAAAAAAACTGACATCAGGGTTTGTCAAATGGCACCCGGACACACAAGCTGAAAACCAGACTGTCCAGGTGAAAACCGGATGGGTGGCAACCCTACCAGACACATAAGCCAAAAACCAGACTGTCTGGGTGAAAACTGGACTGGTGGCAACCCGAGCTGAGTGGTGGTAACTGCCTAGTACAGAGAACCTCAGTGAATGTGGCTGGTGTTCTTGTACATACATATACAGTATGTGACCAACAAAATCTGAGTCCCGCAGGTAAGTAATAACATACAGAGATCACAAGCAGCTCCCAGGGAAACTGGTTGGCAAGCTCAGTATTGCTCTACTCACACATCACTACAAAAAGGGGCACTTCTTTGTTCTCACCACCCTGGCAGCCCACAAAAACTGGGTTTAACTGAGTGCGCCTGGCTCTGATGTTTGAAGTGGAGCAATTTAGTCACTAAGCAACTCTACTCATCTGAAACTCTCTGACGAGGTGCTTTTCATTTGCAGACGGATATTGCCCAACAGAAAATATGGATATCGACTGCGAAGCAGAGAACCACCTGATGTGAGTAGAACAGGTGGAATCATTTGCTGTAGAATGCTAACAAGAATTTCTTCTTTGAGTGATTGCACATGTGCCTTCCACTTTTGGTGTGCCCAGGCCCCTCGCACAGTCATCGGAAATTTTTCCCTCAGTGCTACCGATCAGGGCAACTCAAGCACCCTCTGCTGCCTCGCACCACTTGCACCGATATAAAGGGCCCAGCCACCCCTGAGTTCCCTCAGTTCCTTCTTAGCACCTGTGAGGATCGTTGGAATTGTTTGTCTTGTCTTTGAAAGTGCTCTTGGTGTGTTCATTATAAATTATTTGTAGATAGCTTTCTAGGCTTAGTGTTAGTACTTAGTGTGAGTTTTCATTTTTGGCCCCAGTTGTTTTGGTTTTTTCCCCCGTTACTTGGTACTGAAGGATGCCTTGGTCATTGGGCTTTAAGCCCTGCATCTCTTGCCTTAGGCAGATGCCCAGGAACAACCCAAACTGCCGCTTCTTGAAATGTTTAGGGGAGGCTCATATTTGGTCTCTTCAAAGTTGGCTGGCCTCTGTTTATTCACTAAGTTGCCACCATCTGAACTCTGTGCCCTCTTGGGTACTAACTTTGCTAGATTGGTGGATGAACCCACTCAGTGTTTGTGGCGGTGTTCCCTTTGTCTGCCCTCAGCCTTCACTGACTGGTGACAGACCTGTCTGCCCTGGGGTGGGGCAGCTCATTTGGGCCCCCTCTGAACTCAGTTTGTGTCCCTCAAGGAATCTCTCTTCATATCAAAGCCAGAGAACCAAGGACTGTCCACATCACCTGTCAGGCCTTCCTCTACCACATGTCAAGGGGAAGAGCCTCTTTGTTTTCACAGACAACATGCAGCGATGTTTTACTTTAGCAGTCGGGGCGCTCACTCTTCCCTGTTTTGTCAGGAAGCAGTTCACCTATGGTACTTTTGCATTGCTAAGTCAATCAAACTCGAAGCCTCTTACCCTCCAGGGGTGCAGAATGAGCTGGTGGCCCACCTAAGCAGATCATTTAAGAGTCACCACAAATAGACATTTTTGGAACAGAAAGTGCGGACAGTTTTGCTCCCGACAAGGCTGCAGTCCTGCTTCCATCACAGACGCTTTCCTGCTGCCCTGGAAAAACAGGCTATTACGTTTTTCCCCCAATCCCACTCCTACACAGAATGATGCTAAAGATCGAGTGGTACCAGACCCACCCTACATTAATAGCCTCAGCATGGCCTCGATGGCACTGGTTCTCCACTCTCTAGTGGATCTGTCAGTGGCAGCTCCAGTTTCACTCCTGTTGAACCCACACTTGATCTCCCAAGATCATGGACAGCTGCTCTACCCAAACCTGTGGGCCCTTCATTTAAAAGCCATGAGGCTTCATGGCTAAATGCTAGAAAAGAGTCTTGCTTGAAGTAAATTTGCCATGTCTTGTTAAATAATAGAAAGCCCTCTACCAGAACTGCTTACCTGTCAAAATTGAGGTGTTTTTCTGTCTGGACTCTTCAGGCCGGGGTCTTGCCAATATAGTCCTCTATCCTGCATGTCCTGGACCATCTACTGCACCTAAAACATCAGGGGTTAGCGATTTCTTGTATCAAGGTCCACCTGGCAGCAAGATCCATTTTCCGTCCCTATATGGGTAACCGTGCTATGTTTCCTAATGATATGAGAATCAGGTTTGTGAAGGTTGTCCCATCAAATAAGGGACCCTGTCTCCCCAGGGACTTGAACCCAGTTTTGTTGACCCACTGTTTGAGCCTTTAGTAACATCGATCCATGGACCCACTGTTTGAGCCTCTAACAACATGCTTCTTGCTGCACCTGTTCCTAATGGTGGCTTTCCTGGTAGCTATCACTGTGGTCAAGCGGGTGGCTGAACTGCATGCTCTGACATCCAAACCACCTAATGCAATCTTTCTTAAGGATAAGGGGTACTTGCACCCTCATCGGAGATTTATTTCTAAAGTGGTATCTGATTTTCATAATAACCATTCAATTTACTTACCTGTGTGTTACCCAAAACCACATGCTAATAAAGAGAAACAATATCTGAACACCATAGATGTTAGAGAGCATTGGCCTTGTACATAAACAGGACCAAATGGTTTTGTTCGTTAACCCAACTATTCATGGCCTTAGCAGACAGAATGAAGGGTCTCCCTGGTCTCTTCGCCAAGAATTTCATCTTGGATAATGTCCTGCATTCATGTTTGTGATCTGGCAGGTGTTTCCCCACCGTGCATGGTGTTAGGGCATGCTGTGCCAATGTTCAGGGGGAAACAGACCTTCACTGCCTGTAGCTCTTAAAGATCCCGTGGCATTTGCAAGAGCCCTCTAATCCTGAACATACTTCAACTTGGCTCATTAGAATTCTGCTCGACTTCCCCCTGCAGTTAATCTGGATAAGGTATTCTTCACTTCCTGCCCTCAACTCTGGGAGCCTGCTGTGGACACCAGGTCAGCAACAAAATTAAGCAAATTGTAGCTGCCTGGATCTTGGGTGCAGAGATGCTGTGCGTGGCGAATGCTGGACCCAGGATGTGATATTCTGTCTTGCTCTGGTGCTATGAAGGCAGCTGGAGGCCCTGTTGCAGAAATGTATGGGCTGCTCTTTACCCAGGGGCCAAGCATAAAACACAAAAGCCATATCATGGCACAGATCTGATTCTATAATGGCGCAGATCTGATTGATTTTGGGGAAGGGTCCTTGGGTGGGGAATCCCATTTTTCCTTTCTGCTCATACGGGGAATACTGTAGAAAACACTCCTGACAGTTTCAGAGTGAGAGAGAGAGATCCCTTTAATGGGTTTAGGGTTCCAGACACTGGGTTTCCTGAGCTGAATATCTTCTCTTTTGGCCCCAGACTTCAGGGGAGTTCATAGAAATCTCACCTGGTTATACCTTGACTCGGAGTAAAGAACATCTCTCCGTCACACTAGGGGAGGAATTTTTTGAAAGAAAAAGAACTACTGAAGAACCGGCCCCTCCCTTTGTTCCCAGGTAATCTTAGAAAATCCGTTAAATGGGAAGAAAAGTGGTTGAATCTTAAAATAGTCTTGTTCCCCCCACCAAAATAATAGTGTGTGAGGAACCTGTGAGAGCTTGCAAGAGGGGACATGACCCTCATGAGCGCATACTGCATAGACAAGGGGCATTTGTCTAGCCCAACTGAGTGTAAAGCTGATGTGAAATTAGAATCTGCCCCAAGGTAAACACCTGGTGTGCGTTAAGAGAGAGATGAAGAGTCTGATTCTTCTCTAATTTAAGTAACTCGGGAGCGATTCCACTGACTTCATAGATGTGAGAGCAGAATCAAGCTTCTCTCTGGGTTTCTGGTTTGCGAGAGTTTTGGGTTCTGTTCATTGTTCTGCACGTGGCACTCCCAGGGTTGTCACAAGGGTAGAAGAGAGAGGTGTGCTCTGTAATCTGATAGTGTTACTGCAATTTTAGAATCAGTTGTACAGTCTCAGCCATAGTGCTCTGCCTTCCAAAGGCCTAAATGGGGGATAAGGAGCCAAAGTGAGGGATGCTACTAAAATAGCATTTATTTTAATGAGGGGAGTTTTATTTCTGTAACAAAAATAACATTTTTTTTAATGATGGAGTGTTTCTAAGGCACACAGAACAGTAAGAAAATGGGAGAGCCCCAGGTTGGTGTGAGAGGATCATTCAGGTCCAAACTGAAGAACTAGTAAGAGATCAGATCTCAACTTTTAGAAGAGGCAATTTCTATACCACAGTGCTAGCTGAAGAAAGTGTAACTTTGGTGCATCTGCACAGAATGTGTTCATAGCTTTCTGATTTCAGGCAAAATATAAGACAAATAAATGCTTTGTTTCTGACTTGCCTTGAAATGCCTGTATCTGGCCTTCTCACCAAGCACTCCCATCCACTTCACTGTCTGTTTTTTAGCACCTACGACCAAGGGGGGCGTGTATGGGTGTTGAGGCTGAAAAGTCAATGTAGAACCATTATAGGTTTTTGGATGCTGTATAGTATCCTGCATTATGGGAGGAGTTGCTAAGGAACAAACTTCAGAGAACACTCAATAATGAGCCGCCTCTTAGATGCAGTCATGTTTTTTGCTTTGCAACAAACTCATGTCATCTGCTCTAACTCAACCTGCAGAAGTTTGATAATGTGCATTTAATCTTTCACTCTCTTTGCAGAAGCCCAGTGAAACTTGAGACGTGAGTATGGCTTGTTTTGTGGGGTTTTTGGGTCAAAATCAAAAACTGAACTTTCTGTACATTTTTAACCTCCTCCTCCTCACCACCCGCAGGAATCTGGTTTCATTCATTACCCTGAATGCTGTTTCTTGGTTAACCGGTGACAGCAAGATGTGCTGTTTTATACAAAGTGTCTGCTTCACCTCCTTCCACCCTGGAGATGGAACACTGTTGTCCCATTGCTTGTTTTGTGTTGAGGGCTGGAAACTGAGTCTAAATGTAGATCTCCTGTAAGGAAAGCAGATATTAAAGTAAGAAAATAGTATGTATATTCAGATCTTGTTCAGACAGTAGCCATTTATAGTGACTGAATACGGTTTGGAAACTACTGGGACATGAAATACACTCTGATGAGAAGATGGGGATACCCAAAATCTGGAGCCAAATACCCCTTAACTTTGTGTGATTTGGATTTGAATGTTGTGTTCTGGGCCTATCAGATGCTAGTACTTGTGCAAATGTTGCAGCCCATTAACGTTTCAAATTATTCTGTTTTAATGTTTAACATAATTTGATCATTAAGTTTGATCTTTTTCTTTAAATGTGCTCGTCCCTCTGTTTGCTTTCTCTCTTTGGAGTGCTCTTGTGACCTTGAATCTGGTATCTAGCTGCCATTGGGAAGATACTAGAGCGAAGCAAAGTGAAGTGTTCAGTAAAAGCCCATCTGTGGTCTGGGACCCAGCTTTCGTTCTTTTAGCTCTAACAGGCTAAGAGGCAGCATGTTTAGTCCCTTGGGAGGAGCACATCACGTGTTGCTCAACAATGGTCCTTCCAGCTGATTACGCAGCAGCATTGATGGTCTCCAGGGGGAGTCCTGCTTGGTCCCCTTTGGACAGAAAGGCGGTAGTTAAGGCATGAAGCCTTCAGGATGCTGTAAAAGAGAGAGGATGACCAAATAGGGTCACAGGGAAGCTTCAGTAGTGGATGGAAAAAGTTGCCCCAATGAAAGTGAAATTTATCTAGAAGTCCTAAGCACCAGTAAGAAGATTCAAAGACTCTCACTACAAGAATCAGAGAATATCAGGGTTGGAAGGGACCTCAGGAGGTCATCTAGTCCAACCCCCTGCTCAAAGCAGGTCCAATCCCCAGCTAAATCATCCCAGCCAGGACTTTGTCAAGCCTGACCTTAAAAACTCCTAAGGAAGGAGATTCCACCACCTCCCTAGGTAATGCATTCCAGTGTTTCACCACCCACCCTGTGAAAAAGTTTTTCCTAATATCCAACCTAAACTTCCCCCACTGCAACTTGAGACCATTACTCCTTGTTCTGTCATCTGGTACCACTGAGAACAGTCTAGATCCATCCTCCTTGGAACCCCCTTTCCGGTAGCTGAAAGCAGCTATCATTCTTCCTTCCTCATTCTTCTCTTCCGCAGACTAAACAATCCCAGTTCCCTCAGCTTCTCCTCATAAGTCATGTGTTCCAGTCCCCTAATCATTTTTGTTGCCCTCTGCTGGACATTTTCCAATTTTTTCACATCCTTCTGGTAGTGTGGGGCCCAAAACTGGACACAATGCTCCAGGTGAGGCCTCACCAGTGCTGAATAGAGGGGAATGATCATGTCCCTCGATCTGCTGGCAATGCTCCTACTTATACAGCCCAAAATGCCGTTATCTTTCTTGGCAACAAGGGCACACTGTTGACTCATATCCAACTTCTCGTCCACTGTAACCCCTAGGTCCTTTTCTGCAGAACTTCTGCCTAGCTGCTTGGTCCCTAGTCTGTAGCAGTGCATGGGATTCTTCCATCCTAAGTGCAGGACTCTGCACTTGTCTTGGAGAGGCAGTAGCTAAGATAATGGAAGAGTTCTTTCATAGATCTAGTGCTGTCTATACTGTGGCTCAGGTTAACTTAACTATGTCTTTCAGGTGTGAATTTTTTCATACCCCAAGCAATGTAGCTAGGTTGACTGAGCCCTGGTCTACATTACAGAGTTGGGTCAACATAAGGCAGCTTACATTGACCTAACTCTGTTGGTTGAACCTCATCAGATTTCTTTTGGCCCAATCCTCTAATTTGTCTAGGTCACTCTGTATCCTATCCCTACCTTCCAGCATATCTACCACTCATCCCAGTTTAGTGCCATCTGCAAACTTGCTGAGGATGCAATCCACGCCATCCTCCAGATCATTAATAAAGATATTGAACAAAACCGGCCCCAGGACTGACCCTTGGGGCACTCCACTTGATACCGGCTGCCAACTAGACATAGAGCCATTGATCATTACCCGTTGAGCCCGATGATCTAGCCAGTTTTCTATCCACCTTATAGTCCATTCATCCAGCCAATACTTCTTTAACTTGCTGGCAAGAATACTGTGGGAGACAGTGTCGAAAGCTTTGCTAAAGTCAAAGAATAACACATCCACTGCTTTCCCCTCATCCACAGAGCCAGTTATCTTGTCATAGAAGGCAATTAGGTTGACCTGCCTTTTGGAGAGGAAATACCATCCATTCAATTTTAAATCTCATGCTACCATGTTGAGAAATCCCCTTTCTTTCTGCTGATGAGAGCTGTAATACTTAGGAGACAGGTAGGGTTGCCAACACTCCAGGATTGACCTGAAGTCTCCAGGAATTAAAGATGAATCTTTAATGAAAGATTGTCACGTGATGAAACCTCCAGGAATATGTCCAATCCGTATTGGCAACCTTAGAGACAGGGAATGATACAAAGGGTGCTTTGATTGCTGTTAACCAACCTTTCAGTGTCTGGGGTGGTCACTTTCAGAGTTGGGATTGTAAAATTCGCCAGAACACACCGCTGGAATAAATCAGAGACCCAAATGCACCAACTCTCCACAAAGATGTCCCACATTCTGACCAGTGATGGTCAGTCTCTGTTTGCAGCCGCTGACCCTCTCCTCCTCCTTCCCTTTGTGCAGCTAGACTCCCTCCCTTCTCATTGTGCCAGATGGGGTGAGGTGCCTCCATGTGGGCAGGATGTCAAAGCTTGTTTTATTCTGTGACCTTATTTTCCTCTGGTGGCCTTGTTGCTGCTGAAGGGAGCAGGAAAAGGAGCTGCACTGGAAAGTAGGTTGCTGGGCCAAAAGACCCCAAAGGGAAGGGGGCAGCGTCCCTAATGAGTGGGTAAACCACTGATAAACATTTCCTCAGCCCCAGTGGTAAAACAGGCTGCGGGGAGATTACACACCCATTCTGCCGCCCTGCCGGCTCGAGTGGGAGAAGCAGTGAAGGGGCTGACACCGGCCCCAGATGATGAATTCCAGTAGTGATATTATTTCTATTTCCACCACTGCTCCTATTAGAACAACAAGATTGTCCCAGCAATGGGCCCAGAGCATGACAGAGAGATGGTGTATCATTGTAGGGAGGATATTATTACTGACTTAGAGGAACAGATTGCTGAGCTGACAGACATGATGGAGCAACTGCGCAGAGATCATCAGGCCTCCCGCAAACTGGTGAGTCCACCCGGTTGTCATCTCTCCCTTCTTCTCAGAAAGTGCTCCATGAAGTCACACTGTCTGAGAGAGGCTACAGGGAAAGGACTGACTAGACCACACAGCATTGCCTGGATCCTTTCAGTGCCACTATTAGTGACTGACTGGCTAAAGTGCACCCAGATTGCTGGGTGTCCACGTGCCTGCAGGAGGCAGTGTTGTCTAGCGGTTAGTGCAGAGAACGGGCAGGCGGGGCACTTGGCTAATTATTTATGTGCCATAAATGTGCATTCCTTTACAGCCAAACAGTAGCTTCATGGAGGGCAGCATTTTTAAAACCACCTAAGTCACTTGAAAGTCACTGAGACTTATGCTCCCACGTGAGTTCAGCGCTTTTGAAACGCCCACCTGGAACGACTTCCCTGCGGTTTGAGATTTAGAAACGTTTGCTCTGATTGCGATTGGTGACTGGAAAAAGAGCCATGGCTTGGGTAATGAAGAGATCTCTGCATAACCAGCCTAGGATGGAAAACAGTTAAACAGCATGTTTGTCAAGGGGAAAATGAACAAAAATAACACCTTTTCTGTACTGGGATCGGAATTGTAGCTATCACAGTTCTGAGCCTACTGTGGACAGGATTTTTAGTAACCTGACTGGAGTTATGTCATTAGCAGATGTTTTCTCTCAAACAAATGGCAGGGTAGGTACATTTGCACCTTATTAAAAACTTGTCTCCTTTCCTTTCAAGTTGGAGAAGGATATGGAAGAAAAATGCAATGAAATGCAACAGGAGCATGAAAATAAGATCAGGTACGCTGCTGCGCTATGCAAGGAGAAAGCACATATGTGAACTGAACGCTGGATACCACAGTTTTCTCTACAAGATTTTACATCTTGTGTGGTTTTGGATGTTCAGAATAAGAGACAACATGGCAGTATGTCTTCTACAAAATGAGCCAAGTTTGGGATTGACTCACTATGATCTCTATACCATAATTATTATTGGGAATGGGAAAAAATGCTGACATTTAAATTTTGGGGAGTCTGATTTGGGGCATCCAGATCCAGTGGCTTTGAGTCCAGGCTAGAATTAGACTCACTTTCCAATCCTGGATACCATGGGAGCAACGGTATCATGGGGCCATTAGTACTTAGATTTTGTACCATGGTTGGTGAAGATATTGTGAGATTTTATTCTCTCATGCTATTTCCATCATCCATAGGCGAAAATGTGACATGAACAGCTGTTCTTGTGAGATCTGAGGCTGGGCACTTTCTTGGAGTAATGGGAGGGCATGGCAGTGTGTCTGCCAGTGTCTCAGTGTTTTCCTTTGCTGACCAGCCTAATCTTGACTTCACTTTGTGTTGGGGACATCAACGTTTCTTTCATGTCCCTACTTTGTCCAGAGCTTAGGGCACCATGCTGTCTTCAACTGATGAGGTGCTAGGTGCCATCCGCACATTGTTGGCATCCGAGCCCACAGCATGATGTACCTTTCTGGAGGGGTCTTGCATACTTGTTGAATGAGTGGTGACAAATCTGAGCTGTGCCGCTCTCTACGGCTAACTGTCACCCAGGACCCATCAGCGTGCTCTTGAAGAAGAAAGAATAGAGCCAATGTGGCACAATTTTGTGCTCCCCCTCCACCCCCGCTGGACTCTCAGATGGCTAACAGAACCTTTTGGCCCAGTACTATCTCCCTACTATACCCAACTATGAAGTCTGAGTGGGAAACGATCAATCTACGTTTTTATAAGGTTCCTCCTTACTGTAGTAACAATGATCTGCAATGAACTCGTCAGCTTGGGAAAGGTTATTGAGAAGGTGGGGTGATGGGCTAAGTCTAGCAACACCTGACTTCCTCCAGCAACCCCACGTGCAGTCAACTCTTACTTCACAAACCAGAAAATATACATTTGAAACTAATATCTAAACTGACTTTAGATGCCCCTTGTACAACATCACTAAATTCTGCTCATATCAATCACCTCATAAGAAACTAATGCACTTTAAAGAGAGAGAAATGCAGAATGAAAGACGAAAACTAGGACCCAGAGCAAATAAAATAAGATAAATGACTAGCTGGGACATGCCCAGCACAAACAAAATACATGATGGTGTGAGATGCCATTAAAGCTTCTAATGGCTACTTGTTTAGGAAGATCTGCATGACACATCTGTGGCCCCTCCACTTATGAAATTATACCCCAGGTTATATTTTCTCCACACACAAAGAGCAACCATATACTTTCAGCCTGGCTGACCTTTATTTTAAAACACATGAAAACAACAAAACAAGAAAGAACAAAAGTAAAGTCTCCAGGGTGAGCACAGACTCTCTCCCCTCTGGCACTTTGCATCTGAACTGACCACAAAATGTTAGCTGCCTCTTACAGATTCCTAGACATTTAAATGTGCAGTACACAGAAAAGAAAATAATGTACACAGTTACATTCACCTGGCCATTCACCTTCTGTAATTATTCCATCACTGTAAATGATCATGTGGGTGGACAAAAGGAAAGTGTGCTCTGTGAATATCTGCATTGATGTGCTTGTGTGTTGGTCACACAGGGAACTCCAAGAAGCTCACTGTGCAGAGCTCCAGGCCTTGCAAGTGCAGTGCAAGAAAGAACTGAGGACTGAGAGGGCCTCTGCACAAGAGAAAATGGGTATGGACAGGCTTTCTGGGAAATCTGAACCCTGTTGTTTTCATGGTTACTCTGAGCTGGAAACTCCTGTTGGGTTCTTTCCCTCTCTAGCATATTCACAGCAGCAGACTCCCTTTGGAAGCTTCCCTTGCCTCTCCATGTTTCGGTACTGAGCCATGATTGTCAGTACTAATTGGGGAAGAGGAACAGTTGTGAAGGAAGTTGGCTTGGGGCTGGTAGTGTGCCATTCCTTTAAATGCTAGTGTTGTGCTGGAATTATAAATGGTAGTCAGCAGTCAAGTTCGGATCTGGATTAGGTTTAGACTGGAGTCTGTGTTCTGAGGCCGAATCAAGGCTGTGGTTGAGATTGTTATGCCAAAGTTTCGTGCAGTTCTTGAGAGAGTTCAGTCCAAAATAGCAGGAGGGAATTGGAGATCACCTGAGCTCATCACATTTCTATTGCCTTGAATAATGCTCAGGTTTCCAAACAGATATTGATTTCAGGGGAGGCTGCCCAGAAAACTTCTTGGTTGGCCAGCCAGACGTTCCGCGGTTTGCTGGGTACTTTTTGTAAACAGAAATGAAAAAAATCTTTCAAATCAATGACTGTAGCCCAGCTATTTATTTATTTAATTTTGGGTGCCTTTTGGTGCTCAGAAAAGTCACTGACAGAGTTGTCTTCAGGCCAGCTGCAGGGCCAGCAGATATTCCATGCAACCTGCCCCAACACAGCCTCAATCCCCTTCTAATTCTGAGCCTCCTTTAAAAAAAAAAAAAACAACAACAACTTAATTTCTTAATTCTTAGTCCCATACTATGTGGTAGAAACTGTGACATAGATGTGTCTTGTGGGGTCTGGACTGAGATGCCTAGCCCACTTTCATGTTACCTATTCAGGATTTTAGGGCAATTCCCCATGGCTTGAATTGTGTTAAAATTGCTGTATTAACTACACATCTTGTCCTTCTCTTGTTGCTCAGAGGTGATGCAGAAGGAATACAGGTATCTGAAGAATGCATTCCGAATGTACCAGGTGAGATTTCAGCAACGAAAGTGATCTCCAAAAGTGGATCAGGTCCTGTTAGTCTAATGCTTAGGTCTTGGCTACACTACTGCTTAAGTTGACGTCACTCATGGCTCTGAAAAAGCCACCTCCAGACGTAACGCAAGTTACGTCGACCTAAGCGCTGACCACACCGGTGCTCCGTCGGTGGGAGATGCTCTTCTGTCGGCATAGCCCGTCTTCACCAGACACGCTACAGTGGCACAGTTGCATTGGTGCAGCTGCACCGATGTAGTGCTGTAGTGTAGACTAGCCCTTAGTTTCATAGGAAGGGACTGCAGTGAGTGCACTCACCAGATTCACACACACCCCTCATCCCCCCAGAGTCCCTGATGTGCTGGATTCACTGCAGTTCCACTGTGGGTAAGGAGGGCAGGATATCAGAAACCCAGGGGGAGGGGGGGACATACCCTGTGCACCACACAGCATAACTTCAGTGACTGCTAGCAGGAGCAGCTGGATGCAGCTGGAGGTGTCTCCCTCACCCCTGTGGAGGAAGAGTGGTGTGCAGTGGCCACAGAGGCTGTTCCCCCAAAGGATCATAGAATCATAGAATATCAGGGTTGGAAGGGACCTCAGGAGGTCATCTAGTCCAACCCCCTGCTCAAAGCAGGACCAATCCCCACCTAAATCATCCCAGCCAGGGCTTTGTCAAGCCTGACCTTAAAAACCTCAAAGGAAGGAGATTCCACCACCTCCCTAGGTAATGCATTCCAGTGTTTCACCACCCTCCTAGAGAAAAAGTTTTTCCTAATATCCAACCTAAACCTCCCCCACTGCAACTTGAGACCATTACTCCTTGTTCTGTCATCTGCTACCACTGAGAACAGTCTAGATCCATCCTCTTTGGAACCCCCTTTCAGGTAGTTGAAAGCAGCTATCAAATCCCCCCTCATTCTTCTCTTCCGCAGACTAAACAATCCCAGTTCCCTCAGCCTCTCCTCATAAGTCATGTGTTCCAGTCCCCTAATCATTTTTGTTGCCCTCCTCTGGACGTATTCCAATTTTTCCACATCCTTCTTGTAGTGTGGGGCCCAAAACTGGACACAGTACTCCAGAAGAGGCCTCACCAATGTCGAATAGAGGGGAATGATCACGTCCCTCAATCTGCTGGCAATGCCCCTACATGTACATCCCAAAATGCCATTGGCCTTCTTGGCAACAAGGACACACTGACTCATATCCAGCTTCTCGTCCACTATAACCCCTAGGTCCTTTTCTACAGAACTACTGCCTAGCCATTCAGTCCCTAATCTGTAGTGGTGCATGGGATTCTTCCATCCTAAGTGCAGGACTCTGCATTTGTCCTTGTTGAACCTCATCAGATCTCCCTCCTTCTCCTTTAGCCTCGGTGAAAGCTCCCTGGTAAAGCACTTTGGGATCTGTGGATGGAAATGGCTATATTGTTGCTAACTATCTTTTTACAGCATAATTGGAGGCAATGTGGGAGATTCAGGAGCCGTCAGGGTTTTTGGAAGATTTTCTGAAAATGCGTGTTTGTCCGTCTCTGTGTGTGTGTGTGTAGGACAGTGTTTCTGATGAAATGGAGGAGAAGTGGCTGAGAAGGCAGGCTGAATGGAAGAAGAGTGAGAGGACTGAGCGGGAGAAGGCACTGTTAAAGCAAAGTGAGTAAAAAAGGACGCTTGGGTTTACATCGATGGTGGCAGAGCTGCAGCTGATTACATGGTTATAGCTCCAAAATAGAGCTGTGACCACTCATGCCAGCTGAGGGTCTGCCCCCGAGCTTAGGCAATCCATTCTGTTCAGAGGGACACCATCAGCTTTGAATGTGGTGAATTAAAATCAATGAGTTGGAAGTAGTTTTAGGTACAACATTTGCCTCTGAGTCATTTAATTGTTTGATATCTGCTTTTTTGACTGCTAGGATGTAAATACTTTCCCCAGATTATCCCAGTCCGTTTTATTGACTCTTCTAGGTTTGACTGCAATAGAGTTACTGGTTGCTCTCCATTATGCAGTGGATGCAGAAGAACCCAGGAATGCCTTCTGCTCTGGTTATTGTAGCTTATCTGTGATAGCAATGAGTATTCCTGAAGATTTTATATATTCGAGGCCTTTGGTCCCACCCCTTGTTACAAAAAAATCACTTCTGAGCTGAGACCAAGGATAACTCTTCCTGGGATTTTAAACAAACAGCAACAAAAGAACCTTTTATAAATGGCTATAAATAAGGGCTTAGAATAGCAGAGCCACTTCCTCCATATTGTCACTTCAGCAATGTACTTATCTCTTCCCTGCTAGCCCATTCTGTAGGCAGTGTGCCCCGGGGTAAGGACATAGTTCTGGCTACGTTGTACATTGTGCTACATCACAGCAGTGACAGCTACGAAGTTACCACACAAAGAAGAGAGTCTGCAAGAGGAGGAGAAGGGAGAAAGACGATGATTGGAAAAGTGATCCAGTGTGTGGGCATGTGTATGTATGTGGTCTCAGAACCCGGGAATGGGATGAGACTAGGTGAACGTTCTCCTTCGGGGCACACCCAATGCTGTCATTTGTTAGCTGGTGCTTAGATACCATAGTGCTAGGTAGGTAGAAATATTGAATGCAGCTGAAATGAGTCAAACACCTTGTATGCATGTTGCCACATACATTTGTGTGCCTCTTACACAGAATTAAAATGGATGGTTAGGAAAAGCCCTCAGACCTCTGTCTTTTTCTCCACAGAACAGGAATTGATGAAGACATTTGAGATGGAGAGAGAGCAGCTAAAGAAATCATCTCAGGGTGGGAACTCCATGATGAATAAACTCTACCAGCAGGAAAGAGAGGTAGCTAGTCTGAGGGGAAACATAAAGCTATACGTTGAGGCGCAGCAGTTCCCATGAACTCTTATTGCCAGTAAAATAGTAGCAGGTTTGTTATAAATCCATGCTTCTATGGTGTCCCTAAGCCTCTGTTTGCCAGAAGCTGGGAATGGGCAACGGGATGGATCACTTGATGATTACCTGGTCTATTCATTCCGTCTGGGGCACCTGGCGGTTGGCCACTGTCGGAAGACAGGGTACTGGGCTAGGTGGATCTTTGGTCTGACCCAGTATGGCCATTCTTATGTCTATTTATAAGGCTCCTATTGCTCAAAGGCTCAAGGGCCTGAGTGCTCTGAGTAAAGGGAGAGATGGGGCCAGGTTTGATACGAACTATAATCACAGGATAATTCCATTAAACCCCAGGGATCCTAAGTAGCGTGGGACATGTCAGACACCTTCCAAATCACCAGTCACTTGTATTTCTGCCTAGCAGTTATTGTCTGGAAGGTCGTGCTTTCGGTTTTGCCTGTTGGATTGTGAGGGGTTGGAATCAGCTGCTCACTGACGAGCCTGGGAATGTTACAGACGTGCCATGAACTATGCACAAACTGTGTGTCCTTTTCAGGAGCATATTGAACAGCACCAGAAAGATGTGGAGAAAATAGAAGAGTTGCAAAACATCAAGGAGGCAAGTAGGGCAAAAAAAGAAATGCAGTGTAACTGGAGCAACTGTGTCACTTGGAACGGTCTAGCTTTCTGAGCAGTTCACTCTCACCCCGTCAACTGGATGGGACTTAGCTGAGATATTGAAACTTATGGAGGGTATAGTGCAAACTGACCAGCTCCCCTCTTGTGCACTGTCCTGTAACAGGAGAAGGAGCCACTCCGGGAATTTAATTGTCATTTCCATTGGAAAACGAAGCTTGATTCTGGGTTCTTGATGTAATCCTGGTGCTTTTATAACACCTGAAATAAAAAACTTTCCAAATAAGGGCAGACTGGCCTGGCTGGCCAGTGAGCCACAGGGCCTGGGTGTCTGAAGGCTGTAATGGGTTAGTGCGGCCTCTGCTGGCTGTGCACTCTCGATCTCTGACTGTAACAGAGCTCTGGGCTTCCTCAGGGAAACGTCTACACTTGGAGCTGGAGGGTGAGTCCCAGCTCACGAAGAGACCTACCCAGGCTAGCGCTCATTGTGCTAGCATGCCAAAAATAGTGTGCCTCTGGCAGTGGGAGGGGCCAGCTGCCCTGAATATGAATCCATCCAAGATCCTAGGCACATTCTCAGGGTGGTTAGCCCATCCCCACACAGCTACACTATGTTTTAGTGTGCTAGCTCCGATTGATCTCGTGTGAGTATGACTCCTCGAATCACACCCACCACTCCAAGTGTAGACGCATCCCCTCAAGGGGGGAGTGGTTATGTCTGCTCTCCTCTAGGAGCGGCTCGCACTTCACACGCGGCTGCTCTATAACTTGTAGCCCTTGCACCATTGTGTGTGAAGGGGTAAATCTAGGGACTGCTCTAGCTGCGGGCAAACTGGACAGCTCCCTAGGCCCGCAGATTCTGCCTAGGGCAACAGGGGTGGCCTGGCCAAACCTGAGCAGTGTAACAACCCCAGCTGCTTGATTGCAGTGCCACTCTCTCACATTTGGCCCAGCTGCACTCCCTTTTCCCCTCCCCCCCATGATGGAGGGGTGGTTAGGCTAAGCCTGAGTGAGTGGCACTGCGAGCTGGTGCTGGCCTCTGCCCTTCTCCCATAACCACCTAACCATCAGAAAGTTCTCAGGAGTAGGAGGGGTGTGGAACGCTGAAGTTTTGCCTAAGGTGGTAGATTATTTTGAGAGGCCTCTAGGTAAACCAAATCCATATGTGGAGAGTTTATGCTTGTCTCTCATCTATCCCAATTAAGTACAAGGACAGCGTAGGTAACTAGTTGGCCCCTACCAATAGGAATAAATCCAGCTTATAAAAGCATCGTGAAAACCAGGGCAATGGCACATCCGTGCTTCTGTTCAGGCCAAGCCTCTCCCACATGTGGTGCAGACAGTGACACAGGTATTGGGGAGGGATAGCAATGACTGGGAGAGGCTGATGGGGGCTGAAGAGTACATTGGGCTAGAGAGAGAGGAGCCCATTTTATCCAAGTGAATGTGTCTGTGTTTTATCCAATCAAGTCTCTGGAAGCCGATCTGAAGGAGAAGGACCAAATTCTCCAGGCTCTCACCACAACAATGCAGAACACTCGCGGGGAGCTTCAGAAAGAGGTGGGAGAGCGTGTGTGAGGTCATTATGGGTAAGGCTAAGATTTTGTCATGGATATTTTTAGTAAAAGTCACTGACAGGTTGCGGGCAAAAAAGAAAAATTCACGGAAGCTGTGACCTGTCTGTGACTTTTACTAAAAATATACCTGACAAAATGGGGATCTGAAGGTCCACACACCACCTGCAGCAGGGCAGCTGCGCGGGGGCTAGGAGCTGCCTGCAGCAACTGGGGGCTGTAGGGTACCCCTGGCACCTGCAGCTCTGGGGATCCCCTACTGCCCATGGAGGCCGGGAGCTGCGGGGTACCCCAGCTTCCCATGTTGGCCAGGAGCTGCGGAGTACCCCCGTTGGCGGCAGGCTGGGAGCTGCAGGGGTTCCATGCCACCGGCAACCGGGAACTTGGGAGTCCTCCGCTGCCACCAGCGGCCAGAGACTCGGGGGTCCTCTGCCAGCAGGGGTTTGGGGGCTGCCAGAGGCGCCCATGGCGGCTGGGAGCTCCGGGGCTGCCAGAGGTGCCCAGGGTACCCCATAGCTGCCTGCCCCTGCTGAAGGCGGGGGACCCTGCAGCCCCTGACCACTGCAGACTGAAGTCATGGAGGTCACTGGAAGTCACGGATTTCGCGACCTCTGTGACTAAATCGTAGCCTTATTTATGAGTACGGAAAACGGGTCTCCTGTTCATTCCTGTGGGCTCTCTTGAACAGCTACATTCCCTTCTTTATGGCATATGGGGCTCCTTGGATACCAAGTGCTGCGGCTGTTCTCCGGCTTCCAAATGCGGTTGACATGTAGCATAAAATATCTTTTTTCTTCCCTTCCCGTCCCTCCAAAGGCAGGCTGTACTTTGGCTGCTAAGAAAGGGAGATTATTGACAGTGCATCTAACACTTCACTGTACAGTTCCATCTACTGAACAATGCCAGTATCCTGACCTGGGAATTTGCTCCTGACCTGGACCATGTGCCAGCAGCTAGTGTCTTGATGGCAGTTGGTCACCTGGAGAGGGGTGTGTGTGAGGTTGGGAATATGCCTGCACTGGTGCGGATAGGTGGGGATGATGGGTTGGCTGTGATCTCTGCTTGTAGCACGCTGTCTGTTCTTGGAGTACAGTCAATCTACGCTTGGAGGTGACGGTTAGCTTCCAGAATGAAAAGAGGACAATAACAGATGGCTAAGGAGTAAGAGGGGCACATGCTGTGATGAGCAATGCTATGGCAAGTCTCGCTGCAGGGTTTTCTGTCTCTGTGCTGAGCTGGATGGCTCTGTAACTAGAGCATCTTGCTCCCCTGTAGGGAGAACAGGATGATTCTGTACTTAGCCCACTGAAATCCTGATACAGCTCTGACCTAAGTACCAGGACAGTCCAAGTGAAGATAGAACCACATGGCTCACGTGTATTGTAGCACAGACAATATCTAAAGATCAGTTGAGGTTTGCAGACATCTGAAATATTGGCATACAAAGGGCAGGGTGAAGAAACAGGTTTTCAGACTTACCCTGAATTCCTTTGACTGTATGCATTTAAATCAAGCCCTTAAAATGCAGTTTTGCTTTGAAAAGAACCCATGTAACAATGACACCTTCCTCCTCCCCAGATCTGCTCCCTGCTGCTCAGTCAGATCTGCTGACTTTAGTAATAGCGTTGCTGCTTTTTCATCCTGTTAATACTGTAGAACCAACACGGCTCTGAGGGAGAGAGCTGGGTTCCCTTCAGACTTCTTAACTCCTTTTAAATATTAGCAGCTGTGCAATCCACTTGACGGCAATAGGGTTAGTCAGGTGTCACTGAGAGCATAGACTGATGGCTGTCACTTTGCTTAGGTGTCACAGGGGCCCTGATTTGACTTGAAAGTAGTCTCTCTGGTCAAGGGGGTGTTTGCAGGGCTGGCAGTTAAAACATGGGTACCATTTGCCAAACCAGTTTAGGTACTAAGGAGCCTAAACATCACTGAGTTTCAATGAGACTTGGGCTCCCAAGTACCTACATCTCTTTTGAAAAGGGGATTTAGGCTCATAGGTCACTTTTAGTTACTTTTGACGCTGTTATACCTGCTGTATTTTACCTTTTAAAATGAACACCTTTGGTCTGGGAATTATTGTAACAATGCCCTTGCTTCCCTCGTTTATCATCTCCATTCACTTTTCAGAGCAGAATTGCACTTTGTTGTGCTAGAAGCAGTTTCTTGAGTCTGGATAAGGTTGTCTCTGAATTTTGGTTTATTGGAGAAGGAGCAAATGTAAGGTTGTTTAGGTGTTGCACAAACAGCATTCCAGCACATGGCTATGTGCTCATGAGTGGTGTGTTAAGGTTGGGGTCAGAACTGTACAGTTAACCTTTGGTGGGAAGATCCACGCCTTACAGTGATTGGGGTGAGGTCATTGAAGTGTGTACTGATCCATAGCTTTTAGACAAGCACTTACATACTTCAACTGTTACCATCCAAACCTTGTTGTCGGCCAATTTCCTTTTTTCTCAATAAGCGCTAAGGGGAATAGTGTTGGGGTCTGGAGGACAAGGGGATGCTTGGTTGGGGGCAGGAGTTAAGGAGGATGTTGGGTGAGGCACAGGATGGTGTTGAGACAGACTTTCGGTAGGATCCATGTGGAGAGTCATGAATTAGGAGCCTGCTATAGGGGATCCAGCAGGAGGTGTTATGGGAGGGGAACCTGTTTGGGGAGTTAATGAGTGTCATCAGGATATTTGCAGGCTGCGTGCAGAGGCAGGAGGGTATAGGCCAGTGAGCCCCAGGCCCTGGAGTTTCTCTGTTCTGAAGGAATCCTTTTTGACACTGGTTGGGAATTCCACGGCAAAATGAGGCCTGTCACCCAGTGTGCAAGATTTTCCCCTGTGCTGAGGAGGAAGGGGGATGTATGTGTTGGGTGCAACTTCTAGAATCTCACTTTGACCCCTCACAAATCGAGACATCCAGAATTAGTGGCCATGTCGGAAGAGGTGGGCTTCTAAAGCCAATTTTCTGGTGGATTGTTTCTGTGCATTTCTTTGACATTATTAATATCTGCTGCTGGATTCAGACTTTGGAGCGGGGGGTTGTCCTCTCAGTGCACAGAACAGAATTTGCACTAATAATATTATAACAAATTACCGGGGGAACTGGTCTGCTGTATGCTGTAGGTCCTACACACAAGTAATAGCTGGCTGACTACTTCTGTAGCTCACCTGGTAGGAGCCTATGCTTTTGATGCAAGAGGAGGTGAGTTCTACCATCACAGTTGCCAAGAAGTTTCTAGACACCATAGCATTCAGCACATTGCCAATGAAATTACTAGAGGACCAAGGATTTGTTACAATACAAATGCCAGTTGGCTGCATGACCCGTTCAGTTATATGTCTGAGAAAGATGAGGGGATTCCCTTCCCCGCTCTGTGTTTGTGATGGATTTTCTGTATAACCAATGCGGAGTAGCTGTACCAAGGATATGCTAACAGACTTTTAACTGTAGGGATGCTCTGATTATTGCTCTCTGGTTAGTTATAAGTAGGGTACATCCTGCTACAAGAACATTAACCAGTGGCATTCTGTTTGTAGAGAGATTACTGTGGTGCTCACTATAGAAGCAAATGGGAAATTAAAACCAAGTGTGACTGAATATACTGGGTTGGCATGTCAGCCTTTTGTGACTGGCTACCTGGGATCCCACTCCCTGTTAGTAATGAGTCTTTCTATTGCGCTCTGATGCTGCACCACCATGGCCCACCTTTCATACTTGTTTGTGCTGTCTAACCCAGGATAGACCTTGGGCTACTTCAAACCTGGGAGCATTTGACCATTCTAACATCGAGCTTGGGCTGTTCCTATAGCAGAACAATTGATTTTGAGGAAGCGTGGAGTGGAAGGTCTTTGCCTGCTTAGACTGGTCCAGACTGATTTCTGTGTTTCTCAGTCATCCCTGCTGTCTTGTGTCCTGCCATTGTGTAAAACAACTGATCCTGCCTGGGTACAGCAAGTGAATTACTATCTGGTGCTCCTTTTCCCCCCAGAAAAGCAACCTGATGGAACTGGAGAAAAACATTCAACAGAAAATCTCGGCAGTTGAATTAAAACACCAGCTCAATATCACTTCCTTGACGGAGGAAAATGCCGTTCTGAGGTAGGAACGAATTCTATGTACTTCAGCCCAGATAGCTTCAACTAGCAGCACCCACCTATATGAGCATTTACTAGTTCACTCTTTTTAATCATTCTTTCTTACACTATGAGGCTTCGTCAGTTCTTTCATTCGCAGTAACAGCTGATTTTATATCCAAACATTCTCATGCAAGTGCCATCTGCCAAGCAGTTTCAGCAGAGCTGCGCTGCCCAGATGGTATATGCATTCCCCCTGCCCAAACTTTGGTGCCTTAGAAAAGCCCCACAAGAAGCTTAGACAGCCTGTCAGCTTCCAGAACATGGGCTTTGCAATCAGTGCAGCTGCATGCAATTCAGCTTCTGTCTTCTTCATTTTAGTGAGTAGGGCTGCCTTTATTTCCCCCTCATGGGTCTCTAGGACCTTCAAGGCAGGCCAGCTCAGTAGCTGAGCCATACGGATAGACAGCCCATTCTGTGAGGACAGTGAGTGACAATTTAGTCCACATTGTCCTGTCTCTGTGCAGCATTACATCTGCAACCCTGTAGCCTTGTAGCAGCCTAAAGGAGGTGACTGACTGTCCCAGTTTCACGAGGACTAGCTCAAATATTTTTTTAGATAATGTTGTGGTGTCACAGGAACTTCATTCAGGACACCTGAAAATGTCCCAGTTTTTATTTAATCAATCAATCAATCAAAATATTTGGTTTATTTATAACAACAAAATGTTGAAGACACAAGATTATGGAGCAGAATGTGCTCGGTTTCCGCAGGGCAGTCTGTTCTTGATAATGTGTTTGAGCAAAAGAACAGTTTCTACATATCTGAGCTCTCAACAGAGAGAATGTTAATTATACTTGTTCGGTGTTTCATAATAATCCCATTCTGACACAGAGTTACTGGAAAAATCCTCCCCTCCAAGCAATATGCACATCAGTGAGGCAGAGGCTGGCACATGCCAGCCACATTTTTAAGAGTGCACTTTTTTCATGTGACACCATTATGCAAACCCTATCAGAAGTATCCCAGTCCTTTAAAATAATGATCACCTACAGCATAGGAGGCGCAGGAAGTGAAACTAACCAGTCTGGTTTCACTAAGGTGAGTGAAGTGTAAAGAAAAAACAAATGGAGATGACAAGGTTAGAGCGTTTAAAACACATTTTCTCGTTCTAATAGATGAGATGGTTTTAACACAGGAAAAAAATGCCTCTCTTTTGGAAGGAGGGGAGGAATTGTTTCCCATTCTTGGTCATTAAATCTCCGTTCCCTTCTTGACGCTACCACTGTCTCAGTTTACTGGAATTGATAAAGGGAGAGGATGCTGTGAATTGCTGGCCTTCCACTGTTCAGTTTGGTGGCTTCATTTTAACTCATCAATGATCATTCTCATTACTTACTGTGGAACATGGCACTCAAGTTCCACAATAACCAAGATGAATGTGCCGCTGGGCCAAGATTTAAGCATGTTAATGTATTGTTTACTAAAGATCAGGACTTAAGTTACAATGGAAATAGAGCTTCCGCTTGTGTCTCGGAAAGGAAAACCACGTGTGGAGGCTGTGTGGGAGCTGAGCATGCTTCCTATTGTGTGAGTGTTTGTCCCCAGATCTATCAGTAAACTGACCATAACTATAAGTCTGCTGAAGTCAATGGAGTTGCACCTGCTTATCTAGCAGGCTTTACATTCTGTAGCCTGTGTAGTAACTGTAGCCAATGCTTTAGTTTATTCATGGAGGTTATGATTAACGTGTGTCATATTTAATCACTGTAAGCTAAACAGAGTTAAAATGTATGATTATAGAAGTATGAGACTCATCAGTATGTGGAAAGGATAATCGTGTATTCGCTATCTAAGTAGGGCTGAAACCCAAGGCCTACAGGCTGAGGCCTGTAAATTTTTAGCTTAGCCATACTAGGCAACAGAGTTAAGAAATGCTAATATAAGTGACCAAAGAATAACCTGATGCCATAAGATTATGGGAAAAGATGTACCAATGGATGATACTGCAAAAAATTAATAGAGTAATTTTTTGCTTACAAGATAGTCAGTAGTTACATTTTTCTAACACATGCTCTAACTACAGGGTGCACAATGTGCGTAAATGCTAATGAGTTATAGACAGAATCACATTATAAAAGAGGGTGCCCAGAGTGGGAAAATTGAGCTCGCTATGGGAAACTCCAGCGGGAACCATCCCTTTACTGATGATCAATCAGATCCTAACACTATTGTTAAGGATGTGAGTAAAATTATATTTATAACTTGTGTATGTCTATACAGAATTTCTATATGCTTGAGTAATCATAACTTTAATTGTAACTTTAATAAAACTGGTAACACAGACTAGACCGTGTACTTGTGAATGTATGTGGTCACTACCCTTGGTCTTTGTGTTCCTAGAGACTCTAAATCTGAAGCAAGCAGCAGAGCTGATTTTCACTCTGTTAAGCTTGAAGCTCTAGCCACCAGAGCAGAACCCATGGTGGTGTAACACCACATTAAAAAATTCACTTTCAGTAAAATAAAAGGCTACGTAACAGAGGTAGATGTGAGTAGATACTCTACTATCCCTTTTGTAACACTTCCCCTTCCTATTCCCACAGACGCAAACTGATCACAAAGAGTGAAGAAGCATATAATGAAAGAGTCCGTCGAAAGAGTCATATAATGAAAGAGTCCGTCGAAAGAGTCATATAATGAAAGAGTCCGGCGGAAGAGTCAGTTATCAGTATTGCTCTAATGGGAATGTGACCTTGTTACTAAGGGAAACTTGCTGATGATGGTAAATCCAAATGTAGCAATATGTTCAAGTTTATTTTTCCATTTCTGTAGGCAATGCCAAATCTGCAGTCTCTCACTCTTCCAAATCAATCAGTCATATTCAAGGTGTCCTATTTTTGTCCTGTCATTTCCATTTTGCTTTGTTTCCAGAGAGAGCGATGGATGCTGGCCCCAAGTATGTGTGCTGCACTATGATGCTCAGCTGACTCCTAACTCTGCTCAAGCTCGCTCTTACCAGGACAGGCTGGTGTGGTGTAGATGAATGGGTGCTCAGAGGCTAATGTTTTTATCCCTCTTGCTAATCATTACTACAATAGTTATATGCTACTATAAATGGAGATGCTGCTCCTCCCAGGCAGTCAGACTTCTAGTCAGAGTCCTTCCTACACTTGGCTGAGGCTGTATGGAATGGACAGCTAACTTTGCTGTTGCTTACCTTTATTTTATATCACTGGCAACCAGTCTTTACCTTGTAATAGCATCAAAGCTCATAAGCCCAGCAGCGCTTGGAGTCCCGTCTACCAAGGGAGGTGTTGCAAGAAGTGAGTGTGGTGATTGTGTCTATTTGGCATTCTTCTGTGCTCTGGTACTAGAAGTAGGATTTGAAAACCAGTGAGGTAAGTAAATTTTTGTCCCCTGGTTGCCCAACCACTTCAGGCTTCCATAGGGTTGCACCTTCACAACTGACTTAATTCTTAAGCTGCTAAAAGCAGACGCTCTGAAAGATGGATAACAGAGGCTCTTGCTGCCACTGTCTGACTGGCTCTACTGGAGAGCAGTGTGTGGAAGCGGAGAGTTAGATTTATTGAGAACAGAAGCTGAATAAGTCTAATGGACACTTTATTAAGAAAAGAAGTTACTATTAACCTGCCTCACCATCAGTGCTTTGAAAAGGCACTTCTGGTGTAAGCCCTTGCCATATACTTTCAATTTTTTTCTTCAATCTATCCTGTTGGACTAAAATTTGTATAATTATTTTCAGGGAGAGAAAATTTTCTGAAACTTACTTTTTACTTTTGTACAAGCTGATCATAAACTACATGTGTGCACAACCCTAAACTTGATTCTAAGTTAGTCAGTATCTTGTTTTCCAAATTTGGTAGATAGTTCTCCCTGAAAAATACATCATTTGAAAAAGTGCCTCTATATTAATACCTGCTATCATCTACAGCAGTGTTTCTCAACCTTTCTGATACCAGGGACTGGCTTCCTCCCTTCCTAAACTGTGTCAGGGAGATATCAGGGACTGGTGCTGGTCCACGGACCGGTCACTGAGAAACATTGAGCTGTCCAGCAACCTGGCTGTACTCACAATTCTGGCAGACTACAAAAAGTGAACACTTTAATGAAATAGCCTGCTCTCTGGAAAGCTACATTTCAAAAAAAGGTATGTTTGTTCCCACCCTGAGAGCACATACTGAAAGCTGTAATTTTGTAACAAACAAAAGCCCAGAACTGACGCAGACTTTCCCATAGCAGATTTCAAGTTGGGGTGACTACAGTTCCCTGTTCAATTGATGGGGAAGATGAGTTTTTTCCTGAGTGTGAAACTGGGCTGTGGCATCTGCTTCCCTTGGTTCAGCCTGTCATTCTTCCTGCTCACCTCCCGGTTCACGGCTGTCAGGATCGAGAGAATATCCTCTCCTCTGCCAAAAAATGAGAATCTCAGCATTAGCAACAGCAAAGGGGTTCACCTAACCTGCTGTCCACTAACACCTTTTGATTGCTTAAAGATGCTACTACATTATCCCATATCAAAGCCAGCAGTGCTCGCTCTGTGTAACGACCAAATAATGGATTTACCTTTATTATGCTACACTGAACAACTTACAGTGCCTGATCTGTAATTGCTGTCTTCTAAAAAAGTGAGTTGGACCCTATTCAGGTCTTTCTCTTTGTATGTATGTAGGAGCAGTGTGTGCGTGAGATTCTCTCTATTATTTTATACAGAGCGAGACCTGTCTCTGTGTGTACAAATACATGGGTGTGTAGGAACATGCTACCATCCCCACCTCCATACAGATATTCACAGATACCTGAATGGGATGCAACTCCCTTATATAGGAGACCGTAATTACAGAACAGTTGTAATAGGATTTTATATTCTACATGTGTGTCACTGCTTCATCCTCAGATTTACACAACACCTCTATCAATGAGGGTTGTGGGGTACTCTGCCTACAATCACTCCAGGTGAGGCAGATGTGTGCAGAGAACACCCAAGCACCCCACTAATTGCACCACTTGTATAAAGCCTTGTCTACACAAGAAGCTAGCACTGGTTTAACTTGTCAGTTTAAAAACTGATGTCGGTAAGGGTATCTGCAGAGCTATTTGCACCTATTTAACTAAATCACAGCTTAAATTCAACAGTGCAATTTTGTACAGACAAGGTGTAAAGCTAAGAATGAAGAGGTGACAAAATGTATGTACATACACAAATCAGTGTTAAAGCTTTTATGAATAAGATAGCTGTAGCTATAGGAGATTGAAATAAGTTGTACTAACCGTGGACAGCTCTTCTCCAAGTGCTCGCACAGTGATTGTATATACCAAGTGCCCTGGGTTGTGCTTCTGTAGGACACAAAATCCTTCATGGTGGCCATTCCAAGCAGGAAGTCTGCCTCATCTGGAATGCACTCCAGCTGAAATCTTGCATCTGCCTCTACAGAAGAATCCAGCTCTGTAGAATCTGTTTCTATATGTACCCCTTTCTGGAATGTGTCCCCTTGGCAGGCCTGAATGAAGAACACTTTTGGTTTTCCAGCAAGTGAGGGGCAGTTCATGCCAGTAAAAGAAGTGGTTAGTTCCTGGATAGATGTTTCCTGCCCATCGGTACCAAATACGATGCCTTTATCACCATGGGAGAGGATGCAGCAAACAAAGCAGTCCCGGTCCCGGTGGTCCATGCTCCTGTACAAGTGCGCTGTGTGACGGATTTCCTGTGCAGTGAGGTCTTTGTGCTCTGCTATCTCAAAGTGAAGTTTGGTAAAGACCTTTTTCAAAGCCGCTGGAAAGTAAACAGAAGGGGCAATTGGGGGGGGACGGGACATTTTGTAACTTTTACTAAATAAATTAATCAGTCACTAAAGAGAATTAGGCTCATGCTTTTTTCCCCCACCCTTATACATTTAATTCCACCTCCCCACCCCCATTACTTATGTTTTCAGACTGGGAATTTATCTCAGCTACCACAGCAATGAGCAGGAGAGAGGAAAAGAAGGATCTAAGGGCCTGAACAGCAGTGATCTAATATTGTCAATATTTTCATTAACAACTTGCATGATACAGGAGAGAGCATACTTACAAAATTTGCAAATAACATCTTTCTTGAAGTGTGGTGCCCAGAACTGGACACAGTGCTCCAGCTGAAACCCTACCAGAACAGATCACCTCCTATGTCTTATCTACAACCTTCCTGCTAATACATCCCAGAATGACATTTGCTTTTTTTCCCCAATAGCATCACATTGTTGACTCATTAAATTTGTGATGCAGTATAATCCCCAGATCTCCTTCTATATTACGGCTGCCTAGCCAATTATTCCCCATTTTGTATTTAGGCATTGGATTTTGCCTTCATAAGTGCACTTGTCATTATTGAATTTCATCTTACTGATTCCAAAACAATTTTACATTTTATCAAGATCATTGTGAATTCTAATCCTGTCCTCCAAAGTGCTGGCAACCCCTCCTAGCTTGGTGTCAGCCACAGATTTTACAGTAGTACTCTCTATTCCATCATCCAACTTGTTAATGAAAATATTAAATAGTACTAGATCCAGGACAGACCACTGTGGAACCCCACCTGATATATCCCATCTCAGTTTGACAGTGAACGCTGTGATAACTAGTTAAATAAATTTCATACAGTAGGCCAGACCTCTTCCCCTCTCTCATATTACTCCAATTTCCCTGGAGTTTATAGATATGCAAACTGTATCTGAATTTTTCTAGTCCTTGCTGTACCTGCATCGGCATCTGTTCCGTTCCGGTCTTTTATGTTTTGAAGTTTAGGCACCTCTGATCTTGCTTTTGTAAAGTCATGATTGTTCAGGATCAGGCAGATTCCACGGGGCTGGCTGCTCATTTTGTACATGTCAGGCTGTTTGGGAAAACAGATGAACAACAACCCACAACCTGCACTGCAGCAACCAGTCATTCACATTTCATATACTCCTGCTGCACGTTCAATGGGTTCAGCCTAATGCCCAGTTCCAGTGCACAGCAGCTGAAGAGCTGCACTAATGGGGAGCCAACGATTCTCCCTACACCAACGTCTCTTGTTGCAGGCTCTGTGCCACCTGCTTCCCTCCTTGGTGTAGGGGGTGTGCTGAGGCCAGGATGCTCCATCAGCTACTTAGTCACCATGGCTGCAAGTGTCATAACTTAGGGGCACTGCGGGGTCTCTCTTCCGCCAACCTCAACCACCACCTTCTCTCCTCACATTCTTGCTCCATCTCACCTATCCTTATCCTCACACAAACCGCTCCTTCCCCACTGTCTGATGTACAGGCCTCACCATCCCCCTCAGTTACTCCTCCAAACATTCCCTCACTGCTCACTTCACACCCATTCTTCATCCTGACCGTTGTCTCCCTTGTTTTTCCGTCTGATTGCTTTTGCTTGTACCTGCCCATTTCCTTCCCCTCAGCCTTTCACTGACTCTGCTCTTCTCCACTTTACATTTAATTTTTTCCACCCTATAAATCTCTCCCCCACCCTGCTCCTCGCTCCCACTCTCTCTGTCCAGTTCAGTCTCCTGCCATCCACATTCTCCTAGATTCTCTCCCCACCTCCTGTGAGATCTCACCTTTGGATCTCTCCCCACCATCCCTTAGTATCTTCCCCTATTAGAGCCACTCCCGATACTCCTTCTCCTCAATCATATCCTGCATGCCCCTGACTCTCCCCCATCACACAGCTCCCTTCTGCTCCAGCATCCAGGCCCTTCCCCACTCTACTGCATTACATCCCCCTCTGCCTTAATTCTGCCTCCAGCACCTTCCATGGCCACCTCCTGACAATGTTCACCCCCTGTTCTACATGCAGCCCAACCCCTTCCTGCTCCCCTCACATGGCTGTGTCTCGTGATCTTCACTCTCACACCTATGCTCTCCCTTTCCCCCAGTACTCCTAAACCTTCCTGCCTCGGCCAGGGACCCACAGCAGGGGGACAGGCAGAGACAGGGCTATTTGGCCAAGAGCAGAAGGGAATGTTAGTGCCCTCTGCTGTCCAGAAGTGGAACTGCAGGGTTTACAGCTAAAGGAGAAATTTTATT